TCCCCCCACCGCATCCCAAAACCAGTCCAACTCGTCCCTGCCTCCCTAACCTGTTCTTCCTCCCACCTATCCCCTCCTCCCACCTCAAGCCGCACCTCCATCTCCTACCGACCAACCTCATCCCGCCCCCTTGACCTGTCCGTCCTCCCTGGACTGACCTATCCCCTTCCTAACTCCCTACCTACACTCACCTTTCCTGGCCCCATCCCCGCCTCTTCGACCTGTTTGTTTCCTCTCCACCTATCCTCTCCTCTATCCCTCTTCTATCCGCCTCCCACTCTCTCCCTATTTATTTCAAAACCCCCTTCCCCTCCCCCTTTTCTGATGAAGGGTCTAGGCCCGAAACGTCAGCCTCTCTGCTCCTATGATGCTGCTTGGCCTGCTGTGTTCATCCAGCCCTGCACCTTGTTGACTCACATTCATTGCTGTCTTGATCAGTAGATCACATACTTGCTTCTCAATCAGAAAATCTTACATTTAAGGCCCATTGCAGACTATTTGACATGTAATCCAATCCGGATGAATGTTAAACTGTGTGCCCATCTGCCCTCATGGTTGGATGTGAAGGATCCTTTGGTTTTATTTGGTACGAGGGCAGAGTTCTCCCTGATGTCCCGTAAACAATATGTACCTATTAACCAGTATTATTTAAAATAATTTCTGATGAAGGCCCGAAACGTCAGCCTCTCTGCTCCTATGATGCTGCTTGGCCTGCTGTGTTCATCCAGCCCTGCACCTTGTTGTCTCGGATTCTCCAGCATCTGCAGTTCCTACTATCTCTGATTTTATTTAAAATAAAAATGTTTGCTCATTCTTGCATTGCTGTTCGTGAGAGCTAGTTCATTGCAGTTTCTTTGCTACATTTTCTATATTACAAGCGCACTTAAACTTCAAAAGCATTTAATTGGCTGTGAGGCACTTAGGAACGTCCTGGGGTTAATTAAAGTGCAGTATTAATTGAACACCTCTGTTTCTTTCAGAAACCACAACGCAACACAACTCCAATTAAATTTAATTTCATCCGAACTTCTCCCACGTCTTCCCAAGTACAAAGCTCACTGGGTTTGGGTTCCATGGGTGTCAGTACCTTCCACTTAGCCGAATGTCCTTCATGTGTGAGTTGAGACAGTGGATTGGAGCAGGATATTTACATCTCTTAATATCGCAGATGAGACTGATTCTGTGGGCTGCTTTGGCCCTGAGTTCAGGCAGGACGAAACCAAATCAACTGCTGACCACTGTTCAGAGCCTTCTGCTGAGGTAAGTGACTGAATATAAGCTAAGATCAACATAGTGATGCTATTGCGATGTGTGATGCCCCAATGACCAAATAGTCACTTAGTCTTCACTATCTGGGCCATCACAGAAGAAAAGACATGCAACTTGCATTTATGTCGTACCTTCCATAACCTTGGGTTGTCCTAAAATGTTTTACAGTTGATGAAGTGCCAGTTGAGTATCGTCATTTAGTTGTAATGAAAACATAGTGGACAGTTTGCGCACAGCAACCCCCCCACAAACATCAACGTAACAATGACAGATTTCTGTTTTAATGGAGTTGATTCAAGAATACCTACAGGCTTTCCAAAACAGTGCAAAGGAATCTTTTCTGTCCACCCAAGAGAGCAGACAGGGCCTCAGCTTAACATCTTTTCCTATAAGCAGCAATCACTGTTTACTCCATTGAAGCATAGATCCAGGTTATGTGGGATTTGATCTCCCAATCCATGACTTGAGGCAGGAGATGCTACGTGATACCTGAGCAAGATCTGATTGACCCTTCAGATATTAAGAACACCTGAATAAGGTGGTGAAGGGCGACCAGCGCTCATCGAGGCTGAACTTCCGGAAGAGTTAACAAACCTCAACAATCTATTTAATACATTTAAAAATAAGAGATCACCAATTTAAAACTTGAGATAAGGCAATATTTTTATTCTAACAGAGTTGAGCGTCTTTGGAGATGTCTTGAAAATGTGGTGGAAGCAAAGTCTTTGAATATTTTTAAGGTAGAGGTGGATATATTCTTTTTAAACCGGGTTGAATGGTTATTGGGGGTAGGCAGGAGGGTGGATTTGATGGTACAATCAGATCAGCCAAGATCTTTTTGATTGGCAGAGCAGGTGAAGGGGCCAAGGTTGGGGGTCGGAGCCAGATGAAGCAAGACTAAAAGGACAGAGAACAGTAGTCTCAGTGTACTCAGTCCCCATTTCAGTCATTTATCCTATTCTTACTTTGTAAAAAAATTCCATGCCAATATTTATAATAAGAACTGCACTTGGTGTTGCATTTTGTTAAGGCAAACCAAGGCAGGACTTATACACTAAATAATAGGGCCCTGGGGAGTGTTGCGGAACAAAGAGACCTAGGGGTGCAAGTGCATAGTTCCTTGAAAGTGGAGTTGCAGGTAAACAGGGTGGTGAAGAAGGCATTTAGTACGCTTGCCTTTATTGGTCAAAACAACGAGTATAGGAGTTGGGATGTCATGTTGCAGCTGTGCTGGACATTGGTGAGGCCACTTTTGGAATACTGTGTTCAATTCTAATCGCCTTTCTATGGGAAGAATGTTATTAAACCAGAAAGGGGGCAGAAAAGATTTACAAGGATGTTGCCAAGACTAGAGGGTTTGGATTGTAATGAGAGGCTGAATAGGCTGGAGCTTTTTTTCCTGGAGTTTCGGAGGCTGAGGTTTACAAAATCATGAGCGGCATGGATAGGATGAACTGCTAAGGTCTTTTTGCTAGGTTGGGGAGTCCAGAAGTAGAAGACATAGATTTAAGGTAAGAGGGAAAAAATTTAAAAGAATCTGAGGGGTAACTATTTCACACAGAGGGTGGTGCATGTATGGAATGAGCTGCCAGAGGAAGTGGTGGAGGCTGGTACAATTACAACATTTAAAAGGCATCTGGATGGGTAAATGAATAGGAAGGGTTTAGAGGGATATGGACCACATGGTGGCAAATGGGGTTAGGTCAGATTGAGCAATGTCTGGTCAGTGCGGCCGAGTTGGACTGAAGCATCTGTTTCTGTGCTGTATGATTCCATTTAAACTTGTCAAACAATAGTAGGAGATAACAAGGTGTAGAGCTGGATGAACACAGCAGGCCAAGCAGCATCAGAGGAGCAGGAAGGCTGACGTTTCGGGCCTAGACCCTAACCCCACTGCAAAGCCATCTGCAATTCCCACTATCTCTGAAACAATTTTAACCCCACTGCGAAGCCTGCTGCTTGGCCTGCTGTGTTCATCCAGCTCTACACCTTGCTATCGCAGATTCTCCAGCATCGGCAGGTCCTACTATCTCTGAATCAATAGTAACATGTTCCTGTCAGTCCTGCAAACACCCCTCCACTGGTAGGAAAATGTAATTATAGCACAATTACCTTAGAAAAGACCGTTTTGTTTACAATTGTGGAGATAGCAACTTCAATGGGAAAATTGAGAGAAAGTGATCAAGATAGAAGCTGTTTAATGTATTAATGAAATGTATTAATGTTTAATGAAAACAAAAATGCTGGAAATCACAGCAGGTTAGGCAGCATTCATGGAGAGACAGCAAGCTAAGTTTGAGTCTAGCTGACTCTTCATCAGAGCTCGAAACATTAGCTTGCTCTTTCTCCATGAATGCTGCCTGACCTGCTGTGATTTCCAGTGTTTTTTGTTTGCAGTACAGATTCCAGCATCTGCAGTAATTTCCTGCTATATTTAATGTATTATAGGTGGTCCAGGCATTGTGCACAATAATAGAGACGGGATGCATTTAGTTTTACTCAGTTTAATTTAATTGTATTAAAATCACAGCTTCAAAAAAATTCAAAAGTAAAGATAGATCAGGACCTGACAGTGTTGGGGCAAAGGGAAGACCCAGAGGTTAATCTTGGAAAAATAAAACATTATTAGCCTATCACTTCTCCCGTCTTGGTTTACATATTGTTTTCTCTGAATTGTTCTGCAAGACACAGAACATCAGGGCACCTTGGAATCAACAGGAAGGTGGTGATTATGACTGAGGCTGACATAAGGCTGTGCTTGAATAAACAATTGGACAGTAACAGATCTGACAGGACTCATAGCACCTTAAGAACACTGAGCGGTTAGAAGCTTCATAAAACATTTGGACCACGTAAATCCCTACACTGAGGTACTGATACATCTGCGCTTGATTAGATAAGTATGTGTCCCTCCTGCAGAAGGAGCAGGAGTTGTACCTTGCATTGCTACATGGTCGGTTAGTCAACTTCTTACTCCCGCGCCCTCCTTTACAAAGATCAGAATGTCACAAGTTCTTTGTAACCCTCCCTTCCCCATGGATTTTGTACAACTAGATATTGTCACTAGTTGGCACCCATGGTCAAGTCCATTCATCTTCCAATAAGGTCTCTGCCCTGGAGGAGATGTGGCACCCGTATTTGATCCTCACAAGGACAATCCTCACAGGGGCAGGATACAGCTGAAGGGAGGACAGATGGGACAGGCTAGGGACTAGGGGGGCAGGTGAGGAGTGGTTAGGGGTTGGGGTGAAGGAAAGGTGGACAAGATATCATAGAATCCCAACAGTGTGGAAGCAGGCAATTCAGCCCATTAAGTCCACACTGACCCTCCAAAGAGCAACCCACCCAGCCCTACCCTATTCCCTGTAACCCTGCATTTCCCATGGCTAGCCTGCACACTAGGGGCAATCTAGCGTGGCCACTCCATCTAACCTGCATATCTTTGGACGTGGAAGGGAAACCAGAGCACCCGGAGACACGGGGAGAATGTGCAAACTCCACGCAGACAGTCACCCGAGGGTAGAATTGAACCCGGGTCCCTGGCGCTGTGAAGCAGCAGTGCTAACCACTGAGTCACTGATAGGTGGTAAATCCAGGAGGATGACTGATGAGGGATCAGTGTGAATACTGTTTGGTTGACTGGGAAAGAAGTAACAAAGGCATAAGTGGGATGGGGGGGGGTGGCGTGGGTGCGGTGGTGCCTAACTGGAGTTCTGAGTTTATTCACTGCCATTTAATATTGATTGAAAATCCTAAAGGCTAAATCTCCATATTAGAGATGGATGGTCATTTTCAAATTTTGACATTTCCAGGACAGCTCCTTTAAAGGTTGAAATCATGGGAACTCTGGTACTAAGTAGACTATCCTGAAATAAAAAAATAGAAAATGCTGGGAATGGGCAGTAGGTTTGACAGCATCCATGGAGATAGATATAGAGGTAACATTTCAGGTTGTGGCTTTTCATCAGCGTTCTGATGAGTTGAAATATTATCTGATTTTTCTGTCCACAGATGCAGTGTAACCTGCTGTGTATTTCCAGAATTTTCACCTTTTATTTCCATATTTCCAGGATCTGCAGTACTTTGCTTTTGTATAAAACTATCCAGATGCTGTTTCAAGATGGAAATGCTGACGCCGACAAGGCAGGAAAGAGTCTTTCTACTTGAGGAGTTCTCAGGGCAACCTCATCCCTGCAGCTGTTGGGGCTTCCATCCCTCACCCTCCACCGACCCCAAAACAAACAGCTGACTTTGTTTCAGATGCAGCTCACTCCAGTTTGTAACACAAACTTTGCATTGAAAAATGTCCAATCCCATCACTCATCACAGACAACTGCGCCCTGGGTGGAATGAGGTGGATTCATAGTTCTTCCCTTCCAGACAGGATGGCACAAGCTCGGGCCATCAGACTCATCTGTTCCTGCTAGGGCTGAATCCAAGGTCACGGTGAAACCGAGCGACCCTTGCCGGCATGCTCAAAGTTTTCCATTTGGACAAGAGAAGGAGGATTACCAAGACACACATTAAAGACCTGCGAAGTTCACATCAGACTTCCCCTGTATGGAGGTTGGCTGCCTGATGTCAGTGCTGGTTCTTTGTACATTTGAACTGATTGCTTGCAGAGGTCCCTCAATTCCTTAATCTCCTGCAGAACCTGCTTGGCCTGGTTCCAGTTGGACAGGGCCTCAGAGAGTAGCCACTCTGTGTCATTTAGAGCGACCTGCCCATCTGATATCCCTGGAGAGTCTCTGTTCTGCCTTTTCTGACTCCCATGGCTGCCAGCCTCCAGTAACAGCTGTTGAGTTCTCTCCAGTTTCAGTGCAATGAGTTCCCAGACCCGCCCTAGTTTGTCCCGTTCTATACTGCTCGACTGAGTCTCAAAGCCTTTCCGTAATGCAGACCTGTGTGCGGATCCCGCCCGTGACAGAATTTCCTCTGATGCACACTTGTTTAACTCTGCAAAGGGTAGTTTTTTTGGGATCTCTGGTGAGGAGTTCCCCTCCCGATCTAGAGAGGTGGTGGATTCCCTCTGCCAGCTGTCCCCTTTCTTCTGAAGTTTGTCCATCCTGGAGGGATGCTCCTTCTCTGTCACCGTGTCTCCGCTCTCTGAGGTTTTAGTGGAGGTTTCATAGTTCAGTTTGTGGTGGCTGGTACCAAGATGGTTGGTACAGAAACCATCTGCACAAGTCCCATGGAGATCCAGGGCTGTATCCTCCTCCTGGATCAGATCGAGAGTCAGCATGCCATCAGATGTGGAGGTAGAAGCCTGTGGATACCAGACAAACGCTTCACAAATCTTGCTTAGGGCAAACACAACAATCAATCATTTTATAATATTCTCTCCATCCCTCAAACTGTCAGTGCAATGACTCTTGTTGGAGTGCAGATTCCCCTGAACCTCGCCCTAAGTGCCCAGATTGTGAATATTTGCGACTACAGAGAGCATTGCAGTTTGATCCTGGCATTTCCAACATTCACACACACAAATTAGAAAATGGATACAGGCCATTCAGCCAGTCAGTGTTAGTGTTTATCCTTTACACATGCAGTATTCTAATCCCACATGTACCTGTTTTCCTTTCATCATACTTCCCACTCTTCTTAGGTGCGTTCAATTTCCACCACAGTAATAATCACGTGAAGGAACTACAATTGATCATTCCAGCAGTCCCTAGGCTAATTAATTAGGAGAGTTGGTGGTATAGTGGCAATGTCACTGGCCTGGTAATCCACAGGCCCAGGCTAATGGTGTGGGGATGTGAGTTTGAATCCCATCATAGTGACTGGTGGAATTTAAATTCAGTTAATAACTGCTGGAATTGAAAGCTAATCCCAGTGATGGGGCATGAAACCATCTTCGATTTTTGTTAAAACCCATCTGGTTCTCTGATATCGACACAACAAGGTGCAGGGCTGGATGAAC